CTCCAGGCTTTCAGTCTGACTTCTTTGGTCACCCGAAGAAGGCTCCACAGCTGAAACGTTGTTTCTTCTCTTCAGCACGGAATAAACTTTTGCAGCCTACGCATGCTGGTGCAGCTACCTACTTGAGCGGTAGTAGTTCAGGTGGGCAGCTGCGTCAGCATGCGTAGGCTGCAAAGGAACAAGTAATAGGTTTATTCCATGCTCTAAAAAAGAAGAAAGAGAACACAACATTTCGGCTGTGAAGCCTTCTTCGGGTGCTTTTGAGTTTTTTGAGTTTTTGTGTTTAAATTTTTCTATTGAAAAAGATTAAGCCTGGGGAGAATCGCAACACAGTGAGCAGTGTGTGGTTGTAAAGAGCAGGTAACCTGATTTTACATAAAAACATACAGCTCTTGCCGTATGGGTCGCATAAAAACATATGGCTTATTGGCATAGAAGTCATACCTGTCGATAAATCTTTATTCAGTGTGTTAAGATTTTTTTGTAATGCTTTGTTGGCTCTTGAATGTACAAAATCAAAGATCTTCAAGGGAAAAAAAATCCCTTCCCGTGTGGAGGGAGATGGGATTGGTCTACAGGGAGCTTGGGAAGTGGCCCAGCTGTCCCTTTATAAGCCAACAGCAGGCCTGAGGGAGCTCCGCCCCTTGGTGACGGCGCACGTCTGTGCCGGTTGGCTGGTGCTGAGGGGTCCTCGCGTGTGATTGGAGCAGCACCGGGGGAGGGGGAGGGCGCTGTCAGCACAGTGCCGGTGTGGGTGGAAGCAGTGTGACACCGTCCAGGAGAGCAGAGAAAGAGGGGAGCACGGCAGCGGATTGCAGCATGCAAGGTTGGCTCGGCTTTCTGGGGGGGGAGGGAGCGTGGTTTAAGGCAGGGGGGGGAGATGGGGGTTCTGACCTGATCTGTGTGATTGTGTGAGGAGTGGGTGTAGGGTGGGACACTGCACCAAGATCAAGCACGTGCTCTGCGAGGAGGGGGGTTGGATCTGAATGAATGGCTTTGTGTGTCCGTGCCGTGCCTGTGCGTGTTGCTTTGACCCTCCT